AATTTCAAACACAGATTCAACCACAAAGACCAGGGAGGTTTTCCAATGCCTCGCAAAGAAGGGCACCTATTGGTAGCTAGGTAAAAATATAAAAAGCAGTCACTGAATTTCCCTTTGAGCATGGTGAAGTTATTAATTACACTTTGGATGGTGTATCAATACACCCAGTCACTACAAAGATACAGGCGTCCTTCCTAACTCAGTTGCCGGAGACTTGGGAGTTTTTAAGGACTGGGGAGTTTTTCAGGATAAAAAAGAAACTGAATGGAGCTAAGCACAGGCAAAATGCTAAAGGAAAACCTGCTTCAGTCTGCTTTTCACCAGACACTGGGAGATTAATTCACCTTTCAGCAGGACAATAACCTAAAACACAAGGCCAAATCTACACTGGAGTTGTTTACCAAGAAGACAGTGAATGTTCCTGAGTGACTGAGTTACAGTTTGATTTAAATCTACTTGAAAATCTATGGCAACACCTGAAAAAGGTTGTCTAGCAATGATCAACAAAGAAAGATGCACAGCTGTAATCACTGCCAAAGATGCTTCTACAAAGTATTGACTCAGGGGTGTGAATACTTATGTAAATTAGATATTTCAAAATTTCATTTTCAGTAAATTAGCTAAAATTTCTAAAAACATGTTTTCACTTTGTCATTATGAGATATTGTGTGTACATGGGTGAACAAAAATACTTTTTAAATTCAGGCTGTAACACAACACAATGTGGAATAAGTCAACGGGTATGAATACTTTCTGAAAGCGCTGTATGTTTTTGACAGCTGAGCCATACCACATAAAGTCCAGACTGACAAGAAATAGCTGATCAGAACCAACGTACTTTAGTTCACTGAGTCCTGATATTTGATACACATTCCCAAAGCGCTTTCCATTGGGTCTACATGGTCACAGTGGGTCTACATGGTCACATGGGGTCTACATGGTCACATGGGGTCTACATGGTCACAGTGGGTCTACATGGTCACAGTGGGTCTACATGGTCACAGTGGGTCTACATGGTCACAGTGGGTCTACATGGTCACAGTGGGTCTACATGGTCACAGTGGGTTTACATGGTCACAGTGGGTCTACATGGTCACAGTGGGTTTACATGGTCACAGTGGGTCTAAATGGTCACAGTGGGTCTACATGGTCACAGTGGGTCTGTGGCGGAGAGACACACATACACACAGTTGCTCAGACACATGCATGTACGCTCGAATGCACGAACACACACAAACACAGACACACAGTAAATGCCAGGGCTGTGAACTAAAACGTGGCCAGCGTGACCAGGATTCATAAAAAAACAGCCACTAAATAGGATTTGTGCTCGATGGAATACAGTGCTGTGAAAGTCCATTAGGGACCAGGCTAATGAAATCGAAACAGCTTGGTGATTAAATTAGAATCTGTTCTGTAGATATTGAATTTAAAGTGCGGGTGAAATCGAGCTATTTCATTTTGAGTCTAAGTGTAGAGAACAAAAAGGATGGAGTGCATGAGATGGAGTCCCACACTGTAGTTATACCGGTAGAAGGACATTTAATAAAGAGCAAACATTTTGGTCCAAGACCTTCACCGATCACCAACAAAAAATGAAAAGTCTAAATATTGCACTCATACTTTTTCAAAAGAATGTCTTAATGTCTAGGCTTCTAGGTTAAGATCTTACACAGATCAACAAAGGGAGAGAAATTAAGGGAGACAAACAAGAGAAAGCCCATAACATACTGTAACACTCTGCTTCTGACCTTTCTATGACCTTTGTATGGGCTTCTCCAGAGAGATTATCTTCAGCTGCTCTGGCAAATACATTGTTCCTTACAGGAGAGGAAACAGCTTCGAGCTGAAGCACTGGACACTCCAGACAGTTTGAAGCGGTGCCCTCTTGGTATTTTCAGACCCCTCCGCTAACATCCAACATCCAACATCCAACATCATCCAACATCCAACATCCAACATCCAAAATCCAATGCACGCACGGCACAACAACAAAAAGTTGGGCGTATCAAACTGACTTAGAAATCTAAGATAGGGTCAGCCTAAACAAAGTGGAGCTTTCAGTAGCGGCATGAAATACGAACGATTGGAGGAGGAGATACAAAAAAGCACAAAAACAAGAATACAAGCCACTGAGATCCCAGCAGCTCAGTGTAATCAGGTGGACAGCAGACACCGTGGGTAAGAGCTCCGGAGATCCTCCAAAACCCAAGTGCAGATGGAGACCGAGCCGGCAGCAGCTTTGGGATGAGGCTGCCTTCCTTTGAACATCAGAGAACGTCTTGGACTCGGCGCTCACGGGGAAGACAAGAGAGAGAAATAAATGTCAGAGACATCCTCCCATCTGTCTACACACCATTCTGGGCAACGCTCTGTCTTCTAGGTCAGAGACATCCTCCCATCTGTTTACACACCATTCTGGGCAACGCTCTGTCTTCCAGGTCAGAGACATCCTCCCATCTGTCTACACACCATTCTGGGCAACGCTCTGTCTTCCAGG